CGAAAATTGCAAAAAAATTTTCACAAACATTTTCTCTAAGCTCCATTCAAATATGCTTCTCAGACTCAAGATCCTATGTAGCAAGTTTAGCTAAGACTAAATCGATATGCTTGGGAGGGCCTATCTAGATAATTTTTCCTTTTACTCTGCCCATTTCGAATATCAAGTTAGATATTCTCTGTACTTTCTAGAGTCGAACGTAAATATCTTTTACACTCTTGCATCATATTGAAATAATGCAAATATTAAAACAAGTCAACTCTTTAATGCTTCAGCCTTACCTTAAGCCATGTCATAGCTGTGACAGTTCTCAACGGAAAAGGAATTGCGTATTGGCTTCAGTGTCTGGTCTTACTTGCAGCTTTGGTCTGCTATGAAGAAGCAACCTAATTGCTTTGACCCACTGCCACCCAAAAGTGGGCAAGTTACTTCCCCAGACTGAATGGCGACAATAACAACAGCAACAACAACAACAACAAAAACAACAACATCAACAACTGAAATACGTGGATTCATTGCTCTTGTAATACATTTTTTATGGCTCCATAAGCCATAAGACGTCTTGGCCAGCTTGGCCGTCTTCGTCTTGGATTGTCTTCAGCCAGCACCGCAGCCAAGCCCCTATCATACTTTTGCATTGATTTTCCATTTTCAATTACACTCACATACAATAAAGCATATTAGTGGGCTGATAAATCCTGCCCAACTATGGGAGATGTGATCAAGCTTAAGTCTTAATATAAAAGCGAGATACAGAAATATATAGAAATATATCTATTATGAACTAGCTGCGGATGAAATCTAAAAGAGTGCAATCAGAGCAGCCAGTGCAACGTTTAAGCATATGACATAAAGAGAAGAAACGAAGGACAAAAAGCAGAAGACAGGCAGAGCAGCCAGTGCTAACGTTTACAAATCTGACATAGAAGGAAATCAGGATATTGAGAGAGAGAGAGAGAGAGAGAGAGGAAAACACATGCTTGAGAAGCGCAGCTAGTCCCTGTCAGTGTCAGGCTTATGAAGTCCACATATAGCGGCACAGGGCGGAAATTTAGAATTACTTCAGTGTTTTGTTAGCGTATCGAAAATTCGTTCTATAGCAAGTGGATGGCTACATGTTTCTGATGTCTCTGATGTTTTGTCATTTTATTGGCATTGCGGTTGGCTCCGACTTGTCTGCCGACTTTGGCGTGAGGATTGCGAACGAGGGTTGGCTAGAGGAAGACATAGAGACGCGGGACACAAAGACAGAGAGTCAATGCTGTAGCAACAAACTGTTTTCACAGTTATTCGGTTAGTTGCTGTTGTTGTTGTTGTTGTTGTTGTTGTTGCGTTTGCCATTTATATCGGCAATTGCTGTTGGGCACCTTACAATCATGATTAACATTAGTTTTAACATGATGATTAAACACTTGATAATCCATAATGAGCGAAGCCTATAACAGATGTCTATATTAGTCAAGTCACGCAAATTATTAAATATTCGTTTAATGCAAATCTACTATGAAAATTATACTAAAGCAAGTAAGAAAGCTCTAGTCGAGACTGCCCGACTACGAGATCCACTGAACCCTTCGAGCAACTGATATTTCAATAATTATTCGCATATGCATACATACACGAACACACACAGACATACGTACGCACGCATTGGTCGCAGTGTTGGCTTACTATGGGAAGTTAATTGTTTAATAACTTTGTGGATGGACTATCTTCATGAAACTTTCAGATTATGAATATAACATAGATATGCATGTATTTTCTAAAGCACAAGTTCCTAGTATTTGAAATACGCCTTTTACAAATCTGAAGGTGAGGGGGTGAATTAAGGATGGGGGGTAAATTTTGACAAAAACCGAAACTGTATAAAATGCATATACATATAAAATTTGGGGACTCTAGCTTTAAAGATGTAAAAGATATACATTTATTACTGGTTTTCGATAATATTTTTAATCGATAATAAAATAACGGGACAAGTTATCGATATTTAAAGTCTCGATATACGCGTGCTATACACGGACCTAGAAAAAAAATTTGTAGATCTTATATCTTCTGAGATCGACGCGTTCAAACTTACGGACAGACGGACGGACGGACAGAGCTAAATCGACTCAGCTCGTCGCCCTCATCAAGAATATATATACTTTATGGGATCTACCACGCCTTCTTCTGCCTGTTACATACATTTAACAAAGCCATTATACCCTGATTTCCCATTTTTAATGGGTAATATGTAGGTCAATATCGCTGTCTCTCTATATATATATATATATGTATGCAATATATATATATATATATTTATCATTTATATATTTTTACAACTTATGTAAATACATAAATCTTTATACATATGTATGTATATTCGTGTTATCAAGTATTTAGGCAAATGCATGCAAAAAACAGCGGAAATCGATACCGAGAAGGGATGTGAGTGACGAGCAGATACCCAAACTGAGTTTTTTTTCGAATTTGTTATGATTTACAATAGATATTTAACTATACTTATCGATAAAGATAATATAGCCGATATTCCCTAGCTGCTCCTCTATTCTGTACTTCATGTACTCTTTCCTCCCTTCGTCCTCATCCCCGTTCTAATATTTCTTTCGCTTCCTCTTTCTCCGCTACATTCAAACTATCGTACACACGACTGACAGCTTTTAATTACCAGGTATAAGTATAATCAAATAAAACTGTCTTATAATATATAATAAAAAATAAAATGTACAGTATTAAATGAACGCTACACAAGGAAACATATTGTTGAGAATATCTGGCTAAGTAAATATTGTAAATGCATACAGTATCTTATCTTAAAAGACCCTAAATACATACACGCACGCGCTCAAATGATTAAATATATTCGAATATTTGATTTGTAAAAAGGGGCGCTCAAATAGAGATAATCAACTATATTTTTCCGGGAAAAAAATGAGAGAGAATTTTTTATGGCCAGCTACGTTTGCATTTGCTGTGAATCATTCACAATTCGGATATCCGATTTATAAAGGTATTTAATAAGGTATTTATAGAGTACTTCTAAAGCTACGAGTAAACGTATTGTCAACTTAGATGAAAAAATGTTAGAAATTTTAGACATATGTCCTACATATCAAATAAAAGCTTATAATAAATATAATATTATATATAAATATAATAAATATAAATATATAATGTTATATTACTTATAGCCACGAAGTCATTCCCTTCATCTGGCTCTCTAGCTGTATTTCTGCTTCTCCCTCACACTCTCTACCTTTCTTTCCAGCATCAAAGAAATTTAAGATTTCTTATCAATTTAACGCTTTGTCCTTGTCTAATATAAAGAACAAGCAAAATTTGCCTTTGAACCGAAAAATAAGAATACTTGAAAATCGAACATTGATTAATCGATGATATTCATTTTTGATAACTTTCTCTGGTAGTTGTATGCTCTTCAATTTTGTTTGCAGATGTATTCAATTTGCTAAACGATCTCAACTAAATGGGCATCGAAATGCTAATGGAAAACACATGCTAGATCAAAACCTACATGTGAGAGATGTGTCAATGTATGTGTGTGTGTGTGTTTGTATATCATCATAGCATCATCTTTATAAATAATCAATATTCATTTTTATTGTATTATATGGTAATCGAACAGCAACTGCGACTATTAACTAAATATTGAAACAAGTTTCGTACATTAACAACAACAACAAAATAAGATGAAAACAAGTAAGAAAGCTCTAGTCGAGACTGCTCGACTACGAGATCCCCTGAACCCTTCGAGCAACTGACATTTTAATAATTATTCGCAAAAAATTATTCGAAAAAAAATTCAAGTCTCTAGCTCTTATATCTTCTAAGATCGACGCGTTCATACATACGGACGGACGGACGGACAGACAGACGGACAGGGCCAAATCGACTCAGCTCGTCGCCCTGATCAAGAATATATATACTTTGTGGGATACACTGCTTGTTACATACATTTCAACAAAACCATTATACCCTGATTTCCCATTGAAAATGGGTTCAGGGTATAAAAATTGCAAATGCAAAAAAAAAAAAGCCAAACACGTTTTTGTTTTTGTCGTATTTTGTTATTACTAATAATCAATGTCAGTTAATTAAGGTAAACAAAACGAAAAGTTTACTCTCTACTCTAGTAATTCATTTGAAGCAAAAATTTCAAGGCTTTAGCACAGGAGATCCATCATAAAGGCTTAAACATCGACTTTAATATAATATATTACAATATACACAAAATTTTACCAAATTTTGTTCTTATTTTATTATACTCATTCACGAAAGTGAATGAGTATATTGGTTTTGTGCAATGTCCGTCTTGATGTCCGTCCGTCTGTCCGTATGAACGCAATCTATTTCGGCGCGATTGAAGCTAGACTTGAAATTTGGAACATATACTTGTGTATATCTCCGATTTATAAAGTGTTAAAATTTTCCCGATCCGTCCACTAGGGGCGTGGCAAATCGGAAAATGCATTTTCCGATATGCCAGAAATTATGTTAGTTGAAGAGCTAGAAAGCTGAAATTTGGTATGTAGGTCCGCGTCGACCACCCTAGATCACGAGCTATGGCGGATATATGTATCTCCGCCCATTGGGGGCGTGGCAAATCAAAACATAACTACTAAATTGTTGATGGGATGTGAATGAGTATTCCGCAGTCGGTAACACCCGACTGCAACGTTCTTACTTGTTTTTTTTTTTATTCTGACAGAGAAATTTGAAATTGAATTTTGTTTTTTATTTTTTTTTTTTTTTTTTTTACAAACTTGATTGTGCGTTTATCAATAAATTCCATTTTCACGCGAATGCGTTATAAAAGTCCCTCCGACTAGAGTATTTATTCAAGTAAGTTTTCATATGTTTACTAAGTCAGTAGACAACTAACGTAATTATTAGCCAGAAGTCTGTTAGCAAGGTCAGATCGGCGTTGCTTCTGTTGATGAGCAAAGATCATGTGCAGAAAATGTTAGATTTTTGCTTACCATTTTGTCGTGTTGGACGATTTGATTTCGCCGATTGTGTGCGTGGCCAGTGAGTAGCCAAAATATGAATGTGGATGGCCGTATTTGATTAGCGGTTGCCGTTGCTCCAAATTGAATGTCCAGGTGAGGACACAAAATGTTAACAATAAAAGATAACGACCAATGTGCCTAAGGCTCACAGCCGGCTTCATCTTTGTTGCTGTTCCACTCAGGTCGACAACAGCGATAGCAACAACAACAGGTAGTCAGCGCTGTTGTCGCTGTTGCTTGACTTCTTCTAAATATTGTTGTCTTGTTCCTATGCACTTGTTGTAGTTGCTGCTAACTTCTTGTTTTGTTTTGAATTACCGCTTAAATTGGCGGTCTTTTTTTCGTCCGGCAAATAGCAGACACAAGAAACTTTTCAGCGAAAAATTTTTTTAATTTTTGCATAACAAACTCGCATAGATTATAATACTTATTATCAGATGATCACTTAACATGAAAAACAATAACAAAAAAAAATGTGACGATAAGCACGACAAATGGAAAGCGTTCCCGTTCCGTTACGGCGCGTCTACAACGTTCGACGTCTGTAGTGGCAATGAGTCACAGAAGCGCTAGGCCACTGTAGGTTGCGCAAACACCAGTTCCATTTCTGGTCATGTTAACTAACAGCTCTGTTGTGACGTCACATTTTCAGATTGTGCTCTGTTATCCCGACTGAAGCTTGGCGGGCACTTCAATAGAGATACGTCAAGTGGTCTAAAACAACCAAAATTAAATTATTATTAATTATATATAAGCAAATTTCGATAGTAAATAACAGGGACCGCCAATAGGAGTTACACATAAAAAAAAAAAAATGAGGGTCAAAAGAACTCCCAAGAAGAGAGAGGAAAACACACATAAGGATTTCTTTCATGGCGAATTCAAAAAAAGGATAAACTTTTATTTGTAATTTCTTATTAAAAAATTATATTTAATTATTAAAATTGATTTTTATGATAAAAAATAATAATAATAATTATTACAGAACAATTTTTATATAAAAATCAAACCATAATCACAAATTTTATTACTTTGCACTAAAGAAACTAAGTATATAATGGAATAAGCTGGGGGCCTCTCGAAAGCAGCAATGATAGGCCAAAATGTCCATACATAGCTAACTGAATTTTCGCCATCAGTATTGTTTATTTATGCCAATCTATCTTCACATTCAAATATATAGCTCCAAAACCTAGAAAGAAGCAAAGAGTTCTGCATATCATCTATGGCCAGATTCGTAGTATATTGAATTAATTTAGTACATATGATTATGCTGATTGATGGGAAATGCATAATACTTAGTACGCACAACACGTTTTATTAACTCTAATTCATTTAATAATACAAATAACAGTGTCAAAATTATTTGATTTTCATAAAAATTTAAACGTGCGCGCACCATTTTCTGAAATAATGGCGTCACACTGTTAAAACAGCTGACCGCCTTACATAACCTACTAACTCAATCGAGGCCTTTTAACAGTGTGCATATTTTATTTGTTAACAGTGGCAGGCTGCAAAGCCTGTTAAACAGCTGTTAGGCCTGCCAACCGGTTTCATTATATTTAAATCCGTTGGCAGGTGCGTGCGCGCATTTTTTAAGCTGCGCAGCAAAATTTTGTGAAGAAATCAATGAAATCAAATTGGTGCAAACTTAATGTGCAGCAAAAAGCAATGCAGCATAATCAAAATACAAGAAAGTGGTAAACATTAAAAAAAAAAATTAAAAGTGTGTCTAATAAGTGAAGCCTAAAATAAGCTTTCAATTGGCAAATTGTAAAACTTGAGGAATCAATAAGAATTATATTCAAGCTTAGGCTGAGGCTGTAAACAAGAAACAACCCCCTCCACATAACCAGGCAGCAAAAATGTCTTATGTGAGTTGTGTGCTATATATATAATCTATTCTATTTCTTATATAAACATATCAAATTTGCAGCGTTTGAAGGCTACGAAGTGTCCTACGGACGAATTGTCCCTGACTAATCGAGCGATTGTTAACGTGGCCGATTTTCCAGATGATGTGAAGTATGTGCCCCAATAAGGAGAAACATCACAATATATTTCTATTTACTTATTTATTTATGCACATATATCTCTGTATTATTCAGGTATGCAGATATTTCACCCGCAGCGGGTCAACATTTTATATTCGCACTGGAGAAGACAATGGAAGTGCCCAGAGGCTATGTAGGCTTCTCTCTCGTCCAGCGCAAGTGGGCGATGCTCTCCATCAATCAGGAGCTGGATGTGCGCCCCTATCGCTTTGATGCAAACTCCGATGTCATAACATCGGTATCCTTTGAAACCGATTTTCTCCAAAAGAAGACGTAAGTGTGCAAACTGTGGTAGATAAAAGTAAGGTTAACTTGAAAGAAATTGAGGTTAATTATAGAGAACAACACTAAGGTTAGGTAACAAGTACAGGTAAAGTTAAAATTTTGTTTCATTACTTCTAAGTAGGTCCAAAATTGGTGTGCGAGTAGACTTGCTTAATAGGTTTGATCAGTTCCTGCTCTTTCCTGATAGATCTTAGACAGAAGAGGTCATAAGTCATGACTGTCAAGGAGTCTTATCTTAGGTGTGACATCTTTGAATAACAAATAAGTAAAATGGAGCCGTCCCTCCCCATTCATTTTCCCGCACAGCGTTTCGCAGGAGCCGTATGACTCAGATGAGATGGCCAAGGAGTTCATCATGCAATTCGCTGGCATGGCCTTGACTGTTGGCCAATCGTTGGTCTTCAATTTCAAGGATAAAAAGCTACTTGGCCTGGCCGTCAAGGTGCTGGAGGCCATCGATCCGAAGAGCCTGGGCGAGGGCAAGGAGCCAGCGATGCGTAATGTCCGTTTCGGTCGCATATTGGGCAACACGGTGGTGCAGTTCGAGAAGGCAGAGAATAGCTCCCTCAATCTGCAGGGCAAATCGAAGGGCAAGGTGGTGCGCCAATCCATTATCAATCCCGATTGGGACTTTGGCAAAATGGGCATCGGCGGCTTGGACAATGAGTTCAATGCTATCTTTCGTCGTGCGTTTGCCTCGCGTGTCTTTCCACCCGAGCTGGTGGAGCAGCTGGGCTGCAAGCATGTAAAGGGCATCTTGCTCTATGGGCCGCCTGGTACGGGCAAAACCCTGATGGCTCGTCAAATTGGAACCATGTTGAACGCCCGTGAGCCGAAGATTGTGAATGGACCACAGATATTGGATAAATATGTGGGTGAATCGGAAGCGAATGTGCGACGGCTGTTCGCCGAGGCCGAAGAGGAAGAGAAGCGCCTGGGTCCGAACAGTGGACTGCATATCATCATCTTCGATGAGATCGATGCCATTTGCAAGCAGCGTGGCTCCGTGGCTGGCAATAGCGGTGTCCACGACACCGTCGTCAATCAGCTGCTGACCAAGATCGATGGTGTGGATCAGTTGAATAATATCTTGGTGATTGGCATGACCAATCGACGGGACATGATCGATGAGGCGCTGCTGCGTCCTGGTCGCTTGGAAGTCCAAATGGAGATCAGTTTGCCCAACGAGGAGGGACGCGTCCAGATCTTGAACATACACACAAAACGCATGCGAGACTTCAACAAGATCAGTGACGATGTCGACTGCAGGGAGATCGCAGCGCTCACCAAGAACTTTAGCGGTGCTGAACTCGAGGGTCTTGTGCGGGCAGCACAATCGAGCGCAATGAATCGGTTGATCAAGGCCGATGCCAAGGTCACCGTCGATCCGGAGGCTATGGAGAAATTGAAAGTGAATCGCGCTGATTTCCTACACTCACTGGAGCATGATATTAAGCCAGCCTTCGGCACCGCCCAAGAGATACTCGATAATATGCTGGCACGCGGCGTCGTCAACTGGGGTCAGCCCGTTAGCAATCTTCTAGAGGATGGTATGCTCTATGTACAGCAGGCCAAAGCGCCCGAATCCAGTGGTCTTGTCTCGGTTCTTATTGCTGGTGCTCCAAACTCTGGAAAGACGGCCTTAGCTGCCCAACTAGCGAAAATGTCCGATTTTCCGTTTGTCAAGGTCTGCTCGCCAGAGGATATGGTCGGCTATACGGAGTCGGCCAAATGCTTGCACATTCGCAAGATATTCGATGATGCCTATCGCTCCACACTCAGCTGCATTGTCGTCGATAATGTGGAACGTCTGCTCGACTATGGACCCATTGGACCCAGGTATTCGAATCTAACGCTGCAGGCTTTGCTTGTGCTGCTCAAGAAGCAGCCGCCCAAGGGACGCAAGCTCCTCATTCTTTGCACCTCCAGCAGACGGTAACCAGTTACATTTGCTTATAGCTAAACCCGAACTAATTCTCAACTGCTTACAGTGAAGTCTTGGAGGAAATGGAAATGCTTTCAGCCTTCACAGCGGTGCTGCATGTGCCCAATCTATCCAGTCCGGAGCATGTCATCTCCGTTCTCGAGGACACGGACATCTTTAGCAAGGGCGAACTGCAAGCCATTGGCAAGAAGATGGCTGGCAAACGGTATGTATATAAGCCGATGATGCCACTGACCCGATCTACATTCATCTATACCATACGTTCTAAATATTCACAGCGTCTTCATTGGCATCAAGAAGCTACTGGGCCTTATCGATATGGCTAGACAGACGGAACCCTCTCAGCGTGCCATCAAGTTCTTGACAAAAATGGAGGAGGAAGGTGGCTTGGATATGGTAGCACGCAAATAAGTTAAGCAAGCGAGATCGGAGCTCGTCTAATTGCAATCTCAATTATTAGCTTTTAAGAAAATGAGTTTTCGCCGATATACTAACGCGTTGTTATCATATATATATATATTGTATATATATAAATATTTAAATTTATATAAATTTATATATATGCAAAAGTTATTTATTCGAAAATAATCCCCACACATACATAACCGACTTTAACTGCTTCGCATTGTTTCGTTGGTCCAGTCCACTTATCGATTCCCGTTCCGATTCCAAAATATTCCTAACCTTCAATGGGAAAAAAAAAAAACCAAACAAACAACAAAAGAAAAAGAACAACCTTCCACTAAACTTCGATCTGTAGCAAAACAGAAATGTGAGACCTGTGACCTGATTTGGCATTGCGGCTGGTATTACAAATAACATAATCCTATTTATATATAAATACAAACATACACATATATATATATATATATATATAAATTAATTGTTTACTTTATAATTGCAATCAAAACTTATATCTCGATAAACGATAAACACCTATAAATAATATGCATTTTGTAGCTGCATTGAATTTGTTAATTAATATTATTTAATTGTTGTTTTTTGTGCTCTTTTTGTTATTCAACTAAATGTTTCTATCTTGTTAATCTTAAGAATTTTCCTTCGAATAGAGAACACCAAAAACATATTTAGGAAATGAAACGTTGTTTAGCTTGCAAAGAGTTTAAATTAATTACATAATATTATACAATTAATACGCAATATTGTTAATCGCCAATGTTATAAACTTAAATAAATAAAATCCAATCTACAAAAAAAAAAAAAACGTAACTAATCCTTGCCTTTCTTTATCTAATCAGGTATATCCCAAAATTGCGCTAAATTTCGGAGTGACGTCGATTTGATATTTTCGCTTTATTTTATATATAAATTAAACACAAACATGAACTTTTTAAAATTTTAACATTTTTTATATAACACGCATATTATTATTAAAATTTTCTGTTTTATTGTACATATTATTTATAATTCTGTTCAATATAAACTTTATTTAATCCTATATACATAGCTAGCATTTTACTTTTCAATTATAGAACGGAATTATAAAACCAAATTGAAAACTCTTTTATGGCAAATGCATTTATTTATTGGTTAAACACAATCAAATTTAAATTCTAATAAATATAAGTTGGCAAAACACATGGACAAAAAAAATTTTAATATAAGCATGTATGAAAATTAAATTAAAATATAAAATCGATTTGAGATAGAGCCTTCAATAGCATGCATATAAAACTATTTGACGATTAAAAAGGATGCATAAAACAAATACATATGGCCGATTTCTATATATATATATATATATATATATATATATATATATATATATATATATATATATATATATATATATATATATATATTTATATATATATTTTGCAACTGGCACTGTTGGCTGCCTGGACTTGCACTAGATAACGGTGCGACTGTGATTGAGTGTGAGCTTGCCACAGCGAACGCGACGCTGCAAACGCTGTGAATGAGAAATTCAATCAGAAATGGCGAGTCTATAGAGAGCATATGTGTGCAGTTTGGCATACCCGATTGAAGACGTCACGCAGTATACGATTGCTGCGACGGCGACGCTCCTCGCACTCCCGATTCTGTGCGGCAATCACCTCGGGCAGTTTCTCGCACCGTTTGCTGGTCAACGCCTTCATCTGGCGCGTGGTAAAGATGCGAACGCGAGCTGCAGGACAAGCATATCGAAACATTAGTGAAAACTCAACGGGAGTCAAGGCAGCACGGCACTTACAGGTGGCAGGTGGTGGCAGCTGCTCCAGTCGCTGGTCCAGCGAGTCAAGGCTGCCGTATTCGATGAGCTGCTCGAGCTCTTTGCGGCGTGCATTGCGCAGCAGCTGCATCTGATTGAGAATCGCTTTGCGCTGCTTGGACTGAGCGCAGAACTGTGGGCGAGCACGTTGCAGATGATCCTGCAAGGATAATGACTCCGGCGTTTCCTCGCTGGCGTCCGCACCCGAACTGAAGTGTATGACATAGGCAATGCCACGTGGCCGCACTTGCAGCATATGCTGAGATTGCCTCTGTTCCCCCTCCAAGCCCTGCTGCTGCGGTCGCTTCTGCTCGCTGGAACTGGAGCTGTGCTGTGATTGACGTCGACGCTGGCGCAGCTGCAGCTGCTGCTGATGGCACGCCACATCGTCATACTGATGCGTTGTTGTCGTTGTTGTTGTCGTCGTCGCCTCACATGCATTGGCCAAACTCAAAGGTATGGACATCTCCGAGCTAATGCACAACATGGATGAGGTGGAGTTCGTGGTTGTGCAATTGGTACTTGCTGCAGTTGTTGCTGCTGCAGCTGCCGATGCCGCTGCCGCAGTCGTCGTCACTGTTGCTGCCGCAGTGTGCACATGGCAAGGCGAGGCATGCGAGTTGACCACTTGATAGTAGATGGCGCCCTCATCCAGACAGCCATAGATATTGCCAACAGCCTGAGCGTATTGCATTTCCATGTATTGACTTTGTGGCTGTTGTTGGCATTGTTGTTTTTGTTGTTGCTGTTGTTGTTGGTATTGATGTTGCTGACATTGCTGGTGTGGTTGGAGTTTCTGATACGGGCATTGGTGCTGTAAAATAGAGATAGAGACATTTAGTTACGATAGGATAGCGATTTCTCTGACATTCTTATATAGTTATGTAACTCTACATTTAAGTCTACGGCTGAGATATTACATTAAAGACAAGACCTGGAACCCGAACCCATATCAGCATTGTTTACCCTAAATGATTGGGCCAATCAAACTCTCTCGCCCTCTCTCACTCACTCATACACCCACACCTCCTCTCTACCCCTCGATTGGCATTCAACCTCTTATCATAAGATCTGTTTGGTTTGCAGTGAAACCTTCCAATGCGATATCTCCCAATCTCTATCTCTCTATATATATATCTCTCTCTCTTTCTAATCTGTTAGTTCATAAACAAGTTCCCTCCCTCCCTCTCTCTTGGCCCTCTTCCTCTAACAATGTAGCCCAGTGAATAGGTTATAGAAGCTCCAGCTGTAAGATCCGTTTGCAGTGAATTTATATCTCACCATGTGGCACGTGGCATGATAATGTTGCTGCTGGTGCAGCTGTTGCTGCCGATAGATGACGTGCTGCTTCTGCTGCTGCTGTCGCAGGAGGAGCTGTTGTTGCTGTTGCTGCTGCTGCTGCTCCAGGCGTTGCTGTTGCTGATTTTGATAGTGGGCCATGAACTGGCGCTGTCGCTGCTGGACAAAGGAGCAGACACTCTCGGTGCTGCCCGAGTGTTCACTAAGTGCAGTGGGCGTGGCCATTTTGCTGCGCTGCAGCTGCTTGGTGGCGGGCGTACGTGCAGGCGGGAGTTGCGGTCTCGTCGGTGGTGGTGGTGGTGGAGGAGGAGGCGGAGGAGGTGCAGCCGCTGGACCACCAAGGCTGCAGGGAGGTGTTGCAATGGTCGTGGCTGGTGGCGCTGCTTTTGGCCTCGCTTGATCTAATCGCTTCATGCCATTCACTGCATTTGGCATGGCCTGACCATGGTCCTTCTCCAGCTGGATGGGTATGCGCACACTTTTTGCGCTGGATGGGGGCGGGAGCACGCCCTTGGCAGCGCTGGTCAATAGATGCTGTAGCGTGCGCAGACGCATAATTTCCGTTTCGATCCAGTTGAGCTGCGTGCGTCGCTCCGAGTCCAGCTGGACGCGTTGCTGTCGCTTCTCCTCATACTCAATCTCGCTCTGCGTCATGGGATTCAGCCATTCCTGCACGGCTGCCTGCTCGTCGACAGCCTCGACGGTGTATCTAATCTGTATATTTGTCTTTTGGGTGACCAGCTCATTGGAGGCGCCGCTGCTAGTGGATGTATAGCTGCAGGGCAGTGGTGAGAGTGCGGGCGTGGCCAGGCGTGTGCGAGGAGCAGGCACAGGAGCAGCCAAAGAGACGAGAGCCTGCCTGGGCGTAGCAGTATAGGCGGGAGTCAGTGAAGCTGCGGCCCGAGCAGCAGCTGGACTAGGTGCAGTAGAAGGCACAGCTGCTGGAGCTGGCGTGGTTGCAGCAGGCACAGGGTGCTCCAGCGAATTCCTTTTACTTGTATTGACGCCCACGTCCTTTCTGAGATGCTGGCTGTGGCGCAAAGTATCTATAGGCAAAGGAAGTATGGGATATATCAGAGCTAGCTCCACTGAACGCTAATCGTATCATACCTGCACCGCCAGCTATAAATTTCTCTCTTCTCTGCTTCTCCTTGAGCTGCGCCTCCTTGTGCTGGCCGCGCTTGACATCGGTTCGACTGTTGATGCTGCTGCTGCTGCTGGTCATCAGATCGAGGCAGGCCAACCGCTTGGCTATATCCCGGATGAGCTGTTTCTTTTGGACATAGCTAAGGCTGCGCTTATTAACCAGCGAGCAGAGCAAATCAATGCCCAGATCCAGATCGCATTTAGCGGGCGAGCTAGTGGAGCTCGAGCAGCTAGACTTATTTAGCTGCTGCTGCTGCTGTTGTTGCTGCTGTTGCTGTTGCTGCTGCTGTTGCTGCTGCGGTGGCTGTTTGTTCTCTTTGTTCTCTTTATTTTCCTTGTGCTCCCTCCTTTCCTTGTTTGTGTTGCGGCGGTTGCACAGCACCTGCTCCAGCTGCGCTGCATATTCACGCTCTTGACGCTGCTGCTCCACATGACGCAGCAGCTCCTCGGCGCTGAGGCTTCGGCTTTGGCTTTGACTTCCACTGTTGCTCTGACTGGTCGAGGGACGCGAGTTATGCTGATAGTCAAAGCTGCTCACGGCGGAGGTGGCGCAACTCTCCCTGCGCGAGCTCTGGCTGGGCACAGGTGTGGGCGTGGCCACGGGCGTAGCTATAGGCGTCGTTTGTGGCTGACTGCAAGTGCGATTGCCTTGGACAAAGGTGCTGGAGGCAAGCGGTGCAGCTGGCTTCTGTTGCTTTTGCTCCTTTTTGCCCTCCTGCTGCAGTCGATTCAAATCGGTTTCTGAATGATTGGGTCGATCTCCTCCTGGCCATCCTGCAGCAGGCTGTATGGCCGCCTCTAATACTGAGCGCTCCAATGTGCTAATATTGCTGGCGGAGGCAGCACGACCATAGCGATAACCCACATCAGCGGCGGGATCCCATTCAAGACGCTTGTGCGATTTGAGCGCCGATTCCGGCGTTTGAGTCTTGCGGTTTTGTATCAGCGGCGTTTGCGTCTGCGTGCCTTTAGTTGGTGTGCGCACATCCTCGACTGAGGCGGATGCGATGCGTGGACCACTTGCCGCGTTGGTATCCATAACAATGGGTATCTGTTTCACGTTCTCAGTTGACGAGACGCATTCCTTTTGCTTTCGAGCGACGGCCTGGGCAGCTGCGCATGCAGCTGTTGTTGCAACCCCCAAGCTGCTGCTACGACTGCGACTGCGGCAGCGGCTGCTTGGCGCGCCGACGCTCACGTTGCTGCTCGTTGTGGAAGTGGTTGATGAGAGGGCCATGAAGCGTTCCAGGCCCAATTCACGATCGTTGGACAGTTCCGCCAGATACTCTCTTATTTTGGGAGTAATGCGCGAGGTACTCTGTAATTTTCTATCATAATGTAGTCTACGATTTGTACTATTATTGTTTGACATTGCTTCACATAGCTTTTGAATTTCGAATTGTACACAAGTGCGAGCCAGAAGTACGCAATGGCAAATGCGCAGCGTCAGTGTGTACACACCAGCTAATGTTTGTGCATTCAAATTTATCGATAGGCGATAATTGCATTGATAACATAAATTATTGAAAGCATTGGCATTAAAAACAAATATACATAATTGTAATTTTACTAATTAAAATAAAAATCAACAAATAATATACATTACCGAACATATTTAAATGTTGTTTATTGGCCAAGGCAGCCAAATTACCGATTGATCAAACTATATGAAGCTGTTAAATTTGAACTATGCGAGAGTATATTTGATTTCATGATCGCAATTCAAAATGTTCAAAAATTATGTTTGAAAGTGAAAACTATTTTATAATTGGTTATATTAAAAGACAAATACTATATAAATAAATTATAAAGCTATAGAATGTATAATCACTATATGAATATGCACTGCGTGCACTAATAACATTGGTTACTGATAACATTCTTACTTCATTAACAGTATGTTAGGCTGCAACAAGACTGTTAAATTTAAACTAATTTATCAACGATCAAAAATCACCACAAATATTCTGTGAAATGCAAATAAAAACAATTTGTTTGTAAATATCTATCCGAACTTTATTAATAGGGCGTTTAACATAGATTATTATTGTTTGGGCGATTGGGTTGATCTATCATGTACATAAATAGCTATTATTGTGGTAGGCTAAGGGTGTACGCTTGTATATAGACACTGCACCGATAAATGCAAGAGCCAATCGATTTGTTCGAATCGCTTGACGCCTAAAGAGCGGGAAGTACATATATAATATATATATATATATATTTGAACAAATTTCTTAAAAAAAAAAAAACGATATACACTTAATAATTTTGCTCGCGGTAATACCCCTAGCATAAATTTGGATCTATATCGCTAAATACAGATGTCTAAAAAGCACATGGCGTGAATTTTAAATTCAATTTAAAAATTTTTAAATGCAATAATGTAACAAAGTTGTATATATGCATGTATGATGGAAAAACACCTGCGCAGGTGTGTGTGTGTGTGTATGTGTGTGAGTGTTTTTTGGTGCTTGCTGAGACCGTTATTTCCTTTCGCAGTTCCATAAACGGATGTAATATCTCTTCTTGATTTTGTTTGCTTTGATGTTTTTTTCACTTTGTTGTTTTTTCTTTGTTTTTGGAGCTGTCTGGTATGGCCACCGTTCGATTATTATAGGGTATAATAATTTGAATTTTCATCACAACGTTGAGAAGGTATTTATAATGAAGAAATGACTAGGCCGACGAGCTGGTTCTTTGGGGGATTCGGAGATTAGGATTGTGACCGGGTCTTGGACCGGTGCTCAGCGCCGCTGCTGACCACGATCGTAGAACAATAAATATGCCGGCACACTGAGTACCTCATCAATTGATACCTCACGTACAATGGTATCCGATGTATAGAACCAGCTGTAAGTGTGAATATTTATAAGGTATAGCAATATATATATATATTTATGGATATGTAAATGTATATGGCTTATCTCCAATTACTTACCGATGTGCATTGCGTAAGGAACCGCGTCGATAGGTCACAAAGTGTCCGCTATTCGCCTCGCCGGAATGTACGACCACAGCGAGCAGCCGATACAGATTCTTTGGGAACATGGCACCGAAGCCTTCGCCGCCAGCACCGCCGCCATTGTTCATGGGCAAGCTGGAGGAATACAGCGACATGGTCGAGCCCCAAGGTGTGCCCGCCTAAAAAGAATACACAAATTGATTCAGAGTGGGAAGAAAGAGCAATTTCGTTTAGACTCACCTGACTGTTTAGATGAGGCTGCACAAAGCTATATGGCGCCATGGACAAGCTCTCGGGAAAATGCACGTAATCCTGTCGCTTGCACACCTGCCCGGTGGGCAGCCAAACGGTGCGCGCAATGTGGATGCACAGGCAAGCTGGGAGCTTGGCAAAGGTCACAGATTTGGTGTGCATTGTTGTCTCATTGCATGAGTCGCATTTGACATCGCTCAAATCCTCGGAGGTAATGTACTCGCTGAGTAAGTGGCCCAAGCTCAGGCCAGTGCGCCGCTGTGAGGGCAGATTTAGGGTGATGCTATCGAATTTATCATAGCGCACAGCGGACTTGGAGCCGCAGCCATTGCAAACGATTTGGGCGCCCATAGCGCCTTGAAACGGATGCGCCACCTGGCTGGGCATCATGCTCGACCAAATCGACACACGGCCAGGACCGCGGTTCAGACGCTCCAGCGAACGGCAGGAGCTCGAGACGCGTCGATTGAGGCCCTCACCTTGGTGCTGCTGTTGCTGCTGCAGCTGCTGCTGTTGAGGTAGGCGAGGACGTGAGAGACGCTCGTTGCCCAGCATTGGCGAAACGTTTAATGGCTCCGCCTGCGTCTCAAAATCCAAGCCATAGCCGAATGGCAGAAAGGTGGAGGCGCCGCCAGCACCAGCCGTTGCTGGCGTCATAATCTCAGAAGTTTCACGTTCACACACCGAGGCTGGTGAATCTGGTGTGTGAGCCTCGGAGCGGACCAGACGTTGTAGGCTGGTCGCTTCATCATACTCCATATTAAGGAAATCGGTTAGCATGGCACTGGAAGGTCGATTGGGCTGATCGCCAATGCGTTGGCCAGCCATGTTGCAAGTGCGATAGGCAGCTGCTGCGGCTGTAGCAGCTCCTGTGCCCATATCCAAGCCGTCGCCAGTGTCGTTACCAACGTTCATTTGATTGCTCGCACTGGCCGGCAGCAGGGCATCGGACAAGCAGCCCACCTGCTGCGGCCGTGTGGCCTCCTCCTCCAGTGATGAGAGCAGCACATGGAACAACTCATGTGCATCATGCTCCTCCTGCGGTATTACCCAGCCAAGGGTATTTAGGGCGCGCAGCACTGCGCCTGGTGAATGGGGATCACCACGCAGTGTGGCGTGCGTGCCATTCACCACCTCCAGGGTGCTCAGCATGGAGCTGATCAAACTCTTGCGATCAGGCGAGGCACCATTGTACAACTGCAGCCAGGCAATGAACTGTGGACAGGCAGCCAGAGCCTGAAGTAGTGTATTAAGGAAGCAGGTGCGGCCAAAATTGTGTAATCCAGCAATTTGGCCGCGGCGCTGACGTAAACGAGAGCCTGGCGATAGCCAGAATAGAAATGGGGAGAATTAGTGTGAATAATTGCAGCCAGTGTTGCACAACACTGAACGACAGAGAACGAAAACAAGTCGAACTCAACTTACCCGATGGGCCCCAAAAAACGAAGGCGCCCACAACGGCGGCCACCGTGACACCGGCGGCCATCAAAATCTTCTCACTTTCCATTGTTGTGATTCAGAAACAGGGCTATGGGCGGGCAGGTAGGAGGGGATGGGCGGGAGGCGTTGCACACACTACTTTTAGCACTACAACATCGATTGGCATTAACAACAAACACACTGCACTTGGCCAATGTTACTCTTCTGCTGCTGCTTCTTTTGGTTGTGTGTGTGTGTCTCTTTGTTACCACAGCTGTTTGGTTTGCTTTTATAATATTAACATTAAAGCCTAGAAAAAAAAACCTGAAATTCTTCTATACTATTGTGTGTCTGTCTGGTGTCTGATGTTTAGTGAGTGGCCCTGCCACATCGTCGAATTATGCACTCGACCTTTGCCAGACCGTTGGCTTTTCTACCAACGGTCTGGTAACATATGACACATGAGCTGAGTCTGCTGCAACAGTCATAGCAGGCATAACATAGTTTTTTCGTTCTATAAATATGCTGTGAAAAAATATATCAAAACGAATTTTGTGCTTGTCGCAGTCAGTTGAAATTCAGTTAATAATTAGTTTATAATTTTTGCAAATCATCGGAAATTTTGTGAACAGTTAGTTGATATGTATAATTAAATTCGGATACGGATGTTTAATTTTTTGCTTGACCATCATATGCGAGGTGAGGTGCATACTGGCTTTTATTCTCGAACGTTGTGGAACATATGCGAATAACAACAACTGCATTTACAACAACAAAAACCTGAAAGCAAACACAACAAACAAAGCTGGCCTGCGCTTAGTTGAAATTGAAATCGTACATTCATAACAAATTATTACTCACATTACAATTTGGACATCGTAAGCACGAGTAGCATACGGGAAAAAAAAATGTTTTAAAATTGTGGAAATGTGTTAAAAAAAAGAAAACAAAAAAAAAAACTGTAAATTAAGTGGTATTTACCAAATTCCAATTTTGAAGAAAAAAAATTTTAAATTACACAGTTCCTATTGGTGGTAAGTCTAATTGGTGCAATAAATTTGTATATATTTGTGTATTTAGTGCGAGAGAATGTGTGTTTGCAAGTGTCGCAATTGTTGTGCCATCCCTTTTGTCCCCAACCACCCAATCGGGCCGTCCTTGTGTCCATTTCACAATATAATACGCACACGCACATGTATGAATGCTTGTACACACACATACGCACATATACATGCAGACACACAGCTGCTTGCTGCGCAATAGTCGAATTCTCTTCGTTTCTGTTTTCATTGGCTGCTTTATTTGCGCCTCTTTGTTTATATCAGTCTTTCGCTGCCCGTTTGTCGATTGCCGTTGTGCAATTTGCTTCGTTTTCCGTTTTAATTTTGGAAACTGTGTCAGCGCCTCGGATTCAAATTGCAAGAAATTTTCTTATATGTATATGTATATATTTTCTTTTCTCTATATATGTACAGATGTACGTGGATACATGCATATACATATATATTATTTTTGATCTGTGCTAAAGATTTGTATGCTCCCCTTTGACGCATTTGTATGTGTGGGTATGTGCGCGCACGTAAAGTGGTTGGATTGCTTTGTTGCTGTTTTCGCTGCTTCTTTGTCTGACAAAGAGACACACACACATACACACACACGCATATTCATAACATACACACTCACTCACATTTAACGGTTATTGGCTTGCATTCTGTTTTAACGTCGCAATTCGTCAGCCTTAGACGCAGCTGACCCTGAGCTAAAGTCAAAGCCAAAGCCAAGCTGAGCGCTTTCCAAAGCTCTCTTTGTGCGCTTCCTTTTTGTAAACACGGAAATTGAGACGCAATTGCATCAAATAAGGAAAAACACGCTTCAATTCCATATTTGCAGAAAACCAGTTGCACGACAGCAACAACAACAGCGACAACAGCGGACAACAAAGAACAACAAAGAAGCCAATTGCAGCAACCACAAAAACAAACTTCAAAACTATTCAACTGGAAAAGTGACAAACGATCCGAACAATTCTCAGCTATTCTATATTACTGTATTACAAATATATTAATGATAAACTGAGAAGTCTGGAAATTCCGAGCATTTGGAGAAAGTGTGCAATCAAATAAGAACAGGTGAAGTCCAGACCGTTACTAAAGCCAATCAGAAAACCAACCGTCCGATTGGGCTTTACGTTCAGCTTTACAAAAAATCAGCAAAATGGAGGCCAAAGATAACAACAAGGAGCAGCCACAGCAGTCGGACAATGAGATACGCACGGATAGCGAAAGCTCAACGGATAGCATGATGCGCTTTGTGCTGCCCAGCCTGGATGGTAGCCCCCCAAAAGTGGTCACCATGGACGAGGTGGCGGGCATGCTGAAAAATCTCAAGAATATGGAGCTTGCCCACGAGATAGCACTCAATCCGGAGTTTAAGCTACAGCCATACGAGCCGCCCATGAACAGGTTAACTAACTCGAATCTCCTCCATTCGCTATCCCTTTCTAACTAACTCTTAATCCCCGCCAGCTTGGAGGGTCGCATCAAGGCGATGGTACACAAAGCATTTTGGAATCTGTTGCGTGAGCAATTGGAACGTGATCCACCATCATATGATCAAGCCATCCGTTTGCTAAGTGAGATCAAGGAGGACTTTCCGCAGCTGCTCTCGCCGAACAATACGAACGCCTTGTCGCGCATCAATGCAACACTAGATGAGGCGCTCATCCGTCAGCAGGCGGAGCGTGGCACGCTCGACTTTAGGTCCTATGCCAACTTCGTGATTAATCTGTTGGCCAGCATGTGCGCACCGGCACGCGATGAGGCAGTGGCCAAGCTGCGAGAAATCGACGATGTGATCGACACCTTCCGCGGCATACTGGAGGTCATGGCGCTGATGAAACTGGATATGGCCAACTTTATGGTTTCGGCAGCGCGCAATAATATAGCAGCGAATTCTGTGGAGTATGAGAAGCAAAAGTTTAGTACATTCTTGCGCGAATATCATGGCACTGGTGCGTATACCCTGTAATTAGTAGGAATTTGAGGAAGATAGATTAAGGAGATAGATTAATTAAAATTAGAAAATACAGTAGGTTAGGATAGGGTATGGACAATATCTTACAATCCACTTGTTGAGGCTTGGTCGTTCCACATGATCTAATGGGACCTGTCCCTAAATTTGTGAAACAACTAGAAACTTGAAGGGGGAAAGGGAGAAAGGAATAGCGAAAATGTTTAAGCTAGTTCGACCTAAAAAAAAACTTTTTCGTCCCATTTGATCTAAAAAAAATACAAAGCCTTAAAACTTGAACTCTCACAGCTTCCAATAAGATTAGGCTCTCTTGTACAAATATATAAAACTTATTGGCTTTTCGTTTCCTTTTTCCAGTTGGCTTTCCCGCCACCGAGGACTGGCTGCAACGTGCACGCGCCGGCTGCAACAACAACGAGGAAATCCTTTTCAATGCATTCAAACAGCTGCTGAACTATCCGGCTGATAAGGAGTTTCCCGAACTGCTGCGCATTGACAAGGAGCGCTTCGAGGGTCTCAGCTGGCGTTGTCAGCGTCTCATTTTGTGCGCTGCGCTCATATCCATTGCACAGGGCGTTCCAATCATATCGCAGCGCCGTGAGAATCGCATCGAACTGGCCAAACAGCTGGACATAATCGTTCAGCATGTCAAGCAGCAGGAGTGAGTGAGATGCACGCACTACTGCCGAGCCATTCACTCATCTTGCTCTCTTTCTCCCCCTCCTATAGTCAGCTGAGCTCTGTCATCGACAACTGCTACGAGCAGATTCGCTCGTTCATAAACAAATGTCTGGAGAAGGAGAAACTGCCGCTACTCAGCGAATCGCAAGAGACACAAATCCAAAGCCAAGTCAAGCAGCTGATCAACAAATCATCACCTGTGCGCTCGCTAATGGGTAATAGAACCACACAATGTTTTTGAGACATGATGCATGATATATTCTTGTTCCCAATTCGGATCAGGTTCAAATCAGTCTCTCGCTTCAGGTCTTTTAGTTGTTAAGCAATGGCAGATTGCTAATTTAGTTCTTGTATGGAAAAGTTGTTTGTTTTGCCAGATAAGTCGATGCCATTTCGTATTCACATTCTTAACTGTGCAGGGGGCATATGTATATATAAAATCTCTAATCTTTAATTTTCCAATCAAAATATTTGTATAGAATTCAAATGCTATGAATTTAGTTCTAGTATGAAATCAACTGGTCTTATATTCAACACTTATACTCTTATACTTAACACTTATACTCTTGTAGAATAGTTGTACTTTTTTGATAGCTTTCTGTAATGGAAATACGAGAGGGAAAAGAAGAAAGAATATATGCACTGCTGAGCAAGAGTATTTCAACTGCGGCACGCCGTGTTGCACTTTACGCTTTTGTTGCTAATCGTTTGTTTTGTTTTGTTGCAGCCAATCGTATGGACGGTTTTGTGCGCGTTGCCTTGCGCTCGAATGGCAACATACCGCCGCCGCCCGCTGGCTTCGCTGACTTTGGGGAGGAGCTGGTCGCATTCATTGCATCCTTCCGCCGCTTGGTATCCTACAATCACGCCGTATTTGGAGAATACTTCGTGCAGCTGCTCAACAAGCAGCGCAACAGCGCAGAGCCAACTGCGGACGCCAGCAACAGCAGCAGTAACAGCCTCTCGTCTAATGTGGCCCAAACAGCCAAGCCTTAGGAAGAGAGCGAGATACTGCGAGAGCGAGAGCGAGACCGAGAGAGTGTGTGTGCGTGTGTGTGGGGAAGAGGCAACAAAATATATTTATATAACCAGGCTGCTGGGATTAAGCGTTGGAAGCAAAAAAGCACATAGAAAAAAAGAAAACAAACACCAAAACAAAATGTTGAACGTTTAAGCTATCGAACAAGAGCTAGCCTCTTGTTGATAGCCAGCCAATAGACCCAAACAAATAACAGTAACAACGAAGACAAACAACAACAACAAATGAAGGATATGAATACGTTTTATGCTGCGAGTAGCAACATTTTATGAAACTGGGTGCACTTAGCCAAGTGATATAAAGCATCTACTAAATAACAACTACTTGCACACCCATACACCCATAGACCCGTACACCAACACACCCACACAACTGCACACCTGTTTGAGGGCTGTCTGTGATAAATAAGAATCTAAAACAACTGTACGAAAGCAACTGCTAGCTATATGAGTATGTTAACATACAGACATATATGTATATATATAATGTATATGTACATATATGTGTGTGTAAGGACACGTGGGCACGCCCTCACTGAAAACCCAAAAGAACAATGAACCCCAAATCAACAATTGGCAGCTGCAAATGGACTTAACATTTAACATAAAATTTTATTTAAAAAAAAAAAAGCAACTAAATTTTAACTACACTTTAGAATAGAAAACAAAATACAACTGTATTAACATTAAATAAGTAAACATAATAAAAATACATATACATATATACAAATTATACACACATACATACATACACATATACATATGTATGGATAAATATTGATATATATAGAGAGAGCTCTATATATATATGTGCTATGCGACTGTATTTAGTTATTGGTTCTACTTCAATGATCCACCGTCTGAAATGTGCTAAGATCAAAAAAACATTTATAGATGTGTTGATGGAAATAATAGTTTATTATTTCATGAATTTTATCTATTATTTTCATGAACATATCTATATACATATACTTATGTCTATATATAATAAAAAGATTATTAAAACCTTAAATATTTGTACTTATTAATTAAAACGATAATCCTAGTAGAGGAAGCAGTTCGCCTGAGCTTACCGTTGCAAGAGCTCTGCACGGTACAGTGTCACACCAATCCTGGTAAATATTACATTATAATGGTTTGTTTGCCGTGCTCCAGCAAAATAATAATATTTAATAATAATGTAATCCTTAACCACTGACAGTACAAGTCTTATTAAGCAGCTCAAACAAGGGGGGAGAGAGAGAATGAGAATGATCTAAGCTAAGCCAAGTTTATGACCGACTCTAGCCTGGACTTGAACCCTAAGTGCTGGCTAGCCTTATGTACAATGAATACGAATTTCAATTCATCATTGACTCAAACCAAATGTAGAAATCTTCATAAAATAAATTTAATTCTATACTTATTTAAAAAAAAAAAAAAAATATTAATAAATAATATAAATAAAAAATATATAAAAAATAATATAAATAATAAATGGTCACGCGCTGGATTCGAACCTAGGCATTGCTGTGTCGCAGACAGCTGCTTGACTGCAACCAGTGATGTCATTTTTTTCTGAGCAAAAAAAGCTGGATCAAGGAAAAAAAAACGTTAAAAAAGCTGGATTCAAGGGAAAAAGGTTGACAAAAAAGCTGATTTTAATTACATATGTATATGAATACCAAACTATAGGTATTTTTATTAAACATAAATAATATCCTTGACAAATAGACAGAGCGCTGCCTCCTGCTCAATTGTCTTTGTGGGCAATTGAACAAAAGATAATTTGTTTTTTTGCACATAGCCCTCCATTGAGACTGCGTGCTTTTTTGTAGCCGCATGCGGTTGCAAGTCACTTAATTTGGCAGTTATTGTGCAATTGCAATCACTGCAATACGCCCGTGTTGCGTCTGTGGGGTCCTTCCTTAGCCAATCCTTGAATTCTGTGGCCCGTAGCCACACATCTCGCACTCTTTGCTTATAAACTTCCTTCGGCATGATTTACTACGCAAACGAATTTCACAATGTTAGAGAAGATAACGCGCCAATATCGGTATGAATTTTTAAGAGAAGGTTAGTCGATTAAAGTAAATATTGATACTTTACGTAAAATATATTATTAACATATAAATCGTTAAAACAGCTGTAAAAATTTAGAAAAAATTTACGTTGAAAAAAAGCGGTTTGAATTTGCTAAAAAAGCTGGAATTCCCGCTGCCCGCTGTTTTCAAATTTTTCCCGCAATCGCACTTTTAAAAAAGCCAAATCTGACGGCAAAAAAGCGGCAATGACATCACTGACTGCAACGCCATCACAGACCCCCGTGTGGGCGGGCGGTACGGTAGGTGCGAGGGTGAAGTGGGTAAGTCAGCAAGTGAAAAGTCCCCAAGCGCTAACTCGTCTGTTAATATAGCTGCCCATGGAGCAGCTGTTTCAGCCGCTGTTTTTCAGCGCAGCTTGCGTTGCTCGATGCACGGGCGATGCGGTTCGAACTTCGAACGCGGCGAGCAAAATCGCAAAATTGCAAAATTGCAAAATTGCAAAATTGCTAAATCGTTTGTTAATATAGTTGCTGGCCTGCCCAATGGCGCCGTGTAGCTGTTGCCTAAACTGCACTTTTTCTCAGCTCCACGTTCTGAGCAGGTTCTCTCGGCCTCGAGCAAAATTGGAAACCGAGCGTTCGTTAAGGGCGAGGCGGCCGCAAAAATTAAAATGTGAAAGAATAGGAAAAATTGTCCGACTCTCTGAAACTCAACTGCCTTAAAATGGTCTTATATATAGTAAGAAAAAAAAATAAGAGAAAACTTGATCATTAGTCAGCACCAGCACATATAGATTCTAATATATGAATATAATAATGCATGAAGCTAATTCCGTTTTGTCATTGGCAACGACCGCTCAAATATCGTACCACTGGAGACCATTAAAAAACAATAGTATAATCACTCAATATTTCTATGGGCTGACTCAGCGGCATTTGGCGGGTAGTCGAGGCTTGGCCTCGATGCTGCTGTGGGTTTGCCGCAAGCTGTGCATCGTGCCGTTGCATCTGTTCATATGTGTTGCGACTCAGTCGATGGGCAAGAATGGACGAGCCGTCCGAACGCACCGAATTTACGGGGTATCGGAGGGCAGTGCTATCCCAACTGATGGTGCGGTAGTCGGTGATTGGCTGCATTTTCCAGCGTCTACGCCGGGCTATGCAATCAGCACAAGTTCAATTGATTCTGAACTAATGCATGATTCAGCGCAGCGCTCGTTTGTCTCTCACAGCTTGAGCTTAAAGCTAACTGAAGCTCAGCTCTGTGCAATGAACAAAGTAATCGAGCGTTGCCAACTAAATTTCCATTACAAATTGGTTGGCAACAATTGTCAGAATGTTGCCCACGATATTGTCGAAATGCTGCGCAGGCCGAGCTATAGACCTAACTGGGTGTCTGTCGATAGTCATGATATTTATTTAAGAGAATTTAATTATCTGACATCTATTTGAAGAGTGCCCAGAGCACAAGAGAAATTGTATATGTATATATTTTTTTTGCCTAGCTTCTGAGTTCTGAGTACGCAGAGAGCTTTACAGAGATTCCAGTCGAGACATCAACCCGCTTATTGGTTAGGGTTGCTGCATAGGCTAAAGTACAAATTGCTTATTCCAAGCCCACACCCTGGTTGGTTGTAATCTTTGCTAATTCAAATAGCGCGCATTACAATGGCGCTCAATGTCGATGCTCACCCGCTCGATTGAGTGCAGCAAAAATCCCATCTCACGCACACACCCGTATAAATATACTCAAATGCTGTGTGGGCAATAATAATAATAAAGAGAATAATAATAATCACGCCACTTGCTGTACTTTGGCACTTCAGACGACGACGCGTCGCAGTCGCCGTTGGCATGTTGATTGCGTTGGACGGCGGACCACGCCCGCTTCCGTTGCGCTTAGCCTCATCCTGATGCCTTATCGCAGCTTGAATTGCTCCATTTTACTCTCTTCCTCTCTCTTACACACTCTCTATGGCAGCCTATGCCGGTATTTATGTATGTATGTTCGTTTGCGCGAGTGTGTGTGTGTTTGTATTTTATGATTTGATGTTTCAGCTTTTTTTTGTTTTTTGTTTTTTGCCTTTCTTTCTTCTTCATTCTGTTTTATGGGCCGCTGATAAGAAATCTGCGTCGTCTACGTTGCTAACTGGAAACTTCGCTCCGACCCGCTCTGCTTATCCCTCTCTTTCTCTTTAACACTTCATTCTGACGTCGCGACGTCAAAGGCAATAGCAGCTCAAGCAGCCGCACCGGCTTGAGGGAGCGAGTGAGACAGAGAGGCTTTGCTGTGTTAAGCTCAAAGTCCATTCAGACAGCTCCCTGTTTTTGTATGATTTATTTTTATGTAAATACACACATCTTGCGGTCGGCCCAGCCTCATCAGCATCGTCATTATCGGCGTGATCATTATGATTTTACGGCAAAAAGTAAAGTCCAACTGGAAACTCGCTCTACCAGTACGTCGAGGGAGACAGGCGATCAAAAACAAAATGAAATAGCAGACAGAATGAACCAAGAAATTAGAGAGTCGCACTTGAGATACCCTATACATATTTATGCGACTGTTTGAATTTGTATATAAAATGTGGTAATCAAAAAAATATTATATGTGTAAAGGTAAGTTATGTATTTATATGTATATCATACATATATTCATACATATTTCAAAAATTCTGTCCTTTTTTTTTGTTCAATTAGAATATGATGAATGATCGCTTTGACCCATTAAATAATAAAGAAATTGATTTAATTTTTCGTATATGCATGCACAACATTTAAAGAAAATTTCGTCCAGTTCGACCACGAAGACTGATCGGTTTTATCCATTAAGAATACATGATATATATTTATATACATAGGTATACATATATACGATGCACCCATATCAAAGTTTGCGTTCAGCCTTGTCATGAAAGCTTAGAAATAGCTGATATATGGAGTGATCGAAAAAAAAAGGGAAACTTATAGGAAAAACCAAGAAAATGAAAACATGAGGAGCCCTACAATATTGAATACCCTACGTTGCACATTCGATCATCAAGTGCATACACCCAACTTTGGAGCAATCATCAAGAATTTATATGATATGTACAACATGCTGAAGAATCTTTGTTCGAACATCGAGAGCTTTTCGGTTTTGGGCATAACACATACATATTGATTGATCCGATCCTTAAATGCTTTCGTCTGGACTCCAATTGGCATCCCGACTATGCGACTGAGCAGCTTCCATGGCCAAAACGAAAATTAACTTAGATGCCGGCGGGCATATAAATGAGCGAAAGCGAACTTGAGATTCACTTTTCGTATTTTGTTTTCATACATACATACATACATATATATGATTTTTTATTTAAAAAATTTTATTTATTTTTTTTTGTATTTATCGCTTTGGCTCATTATCGAAATTCTCGAAATACTTGAGAGAATTCGCTGTAGCGAATAGTACCTCGCCCCGCTTGTGATTAGACGACCTGTACCCTATGCTCTGGCGCTATCTAAGGCCCCGCTCTATAAATAGGTCCCCATTGAACTTCACATATAGAAATTGGCACTCCGGCACCAGGTGAGCGAGTCTCTGATAAGAAAACGATTCGTAACCGTGCAATTTAATCACGAGCAAACAAGCTCACACAAATCAAAATGCTTATTGCACGTCATTCGCGAGACAGTTATATGTTTGTACATCCAGATGTACT